ATATATAGACTATATATATATATATATATATAACTATATATATATGAATATTATTTTTTTAAGATTTGCATATGCAACCCTGGGGGATTCAAGTGTTTCAAAAATATCCTGTTTGTGAATTTTTATGAATTTTTGATTAATGATTTTCATACACTTTATTATAAATATGGTTAATACATATAACTATAAATAAATCCAAATGTAGTAAAGTTATTGAACCCCTGAATTTATGTGGTTTTAAAATTGTTTGTTAAAGATCGAATTATAAAAGTAAATAAACATGACACAAAATGGTAAAAATGACGCCACACTTAAAGCTTAAAGTTTAACTAGTAGAACAATTTTCCCAATAAGAGAATTTTTCAACTCGGGAATTTTTTTTTTATTAAAATAAATTTTTTTTATTTGTTCATTGTTTTAAATTTCATTGGAACAGGGGCTAAACAAGTTTAATTGTAAACTTGTAATTAAAAAAGGAAAATTAACGGGATTGTAAACCCGTAAATATAATAATTAAATTTTTTTCGGAATTAGGATGAATGGACATTTTTTCATTTTATTTATCTTTCCGATAAGTATTCATTCAAAAACAATTGACAAATTAAAATTTAAAAAATTTTTTATAATTTTTTTACACACGGTCTTTAATCGCCGAAATCATGAGTCCAAAAGCCGATATCAAGGTATTGGATACCAAAGAGTTCTTCCCTTTAATAGATTCATTCTTTTAAATTATGAAACTTTAAATTGTACAATCTTTCGGTTGTTAGCGATTGATAGATACTATCTTATCTTCTCGGTTATTTGTAAAACAATTAAATAAAAAAACAACAATAATAATAATAATAATAATTAATAATAATAATCCCCAAAGGTTCTAAAATTACTAACGAAAAGGATTTAACAATCGCGAGCCTTTTACGCGTTTTTGTTTTTAATGATAATCATCGTCAGATGATGATTTTGATGATTTACTTTACTTAATCAAGTTAATAATACTATGTTTTTTAACCGGAATTACTTGCACGCGTGTGTTTGTTTGTTGTAATCTTTTTATTAGTTGTAACCATAATGATAATTTTTACTTTTTATGCATCGTTCTCCTTGAAAGAATATCAAATATCGGACGGGATCTTCCGCGTAATAAAAGATTGGTAAAGTTTTGGATATAAAGTATATTCTAAAGGGGTAGTTAATGGATTTTCATAAAACATGGTCTTAACCAAAAAATTTTTTCATTAGAAAAACTATATTGGTAAATGTCCATTTTTACCAATAAGAAATTCATTCATCATAATGTGTAACACATGACTCGGATGACTCGGAATTAACTCAGTGCGAACTCAGTGTAAATTATAAATATGTTATTTATTGGTTTATTCTTATAGTTATACATAAACCCCTTTTATAAATTAGTTTGTACCCTCGTACTAATAATCATTCTTTTTCATCTCACACACGATAATAAAAATTTATATTTGATACTACGTTACAAATATCACATTCGGTAATATATTGTATTTTATTTAAAGGAAAATAATAAAAATAATATTAATAATAAGAATAAACATTGAGATTTTTATTTTTTTTTTTAAAAAAAAAATAAAAATAAAATTTCGTTAAAATATATATAAAATATATATATATTATTCTATATATTATTCTATATTAAACTGAATTTATTATGTAAAAAACAAAAAACTTTTTTTTTTTCTTATCTTTTTGATATTTGGATGATCCGGAATTTAATGTAAAGCCGATTAAGAAATATGGTTTAGTTATTTTAGTTATAATAAAATGGTGACACTTAAAAAAAGATTCACATAAAATTCCAAATATAATAATCATTTAACCGATATATTAATATATTTTTTGGGGAAAAAAAAAAAAAATTTATCTGATACAAATTTTTTCAAGAGAATTTGATTGTTAATGTTTCAGAAAGAACCAACTTTGGAATAAAATTATAAAAAATTATAAAAAAAAAATTTTATTATTGTCATTAAAAAATCAAATTATTTACACGCGAGGTTTTATTATTATTTAATCTATTTAAATCTTTAAAAAAATATACAAATAATAATTTCACGATCGATGGTTGGATATTGAATTTTTAATAGTGAAGCACGCGTAAAAAAAAAATAATAATAATTTGATATACGTATCACAATGATACAATCTTTTTCTTGTACTGGATTAATTTTAATAGATTACAGTGAATTAATTATTATATGAGATTATAATGAATTACAATAGATTAACTAGTAGATTGATCATAATTTTATTCCGAATGCCGAATGTATCGAATGTATTCTAACTTTTTATTTTTTATTTTTTATTTTTTTTTCGTAAAAAAAAACCTTCCAAAAAAGAATAACAAAAAAAAAAACAAAAACCTTTTTTGAAAAAAACAAACTTTTTTTTTTCTCATTTCTCCTTTAAGTTTCACTCATAATTTTAATTTTTCTTCTTATGAACTTATTGTTTTGAAGAAAAAAAAAAAAAAAAAAAAAAAAATTATTTAAAAAGAAAGAATATTGGATGAATTACTGTAATTTTTCCTTTTTTAGAAGTTATGTATGCAAGCTTTGAATATTATTGTTCGATAAGTAAAGGTTTATCGGATATCTAAGGAAAACGCACAGCGTAAGGTTGGGAAAATTTTTTTTTTTTTTTTTTTTTTTTTTTTAAAAAGTTCAGAATGAAAGAGAATTGGACCGGTTTGACTTAACAGATATGACAAACAATATAAAATGCAGAAGAGTTTCGAATTTGATCGTAATAGGCATATAAATCTGTACATCAAACAGATCTATAATAAATTATGCAGAAACACTGCATATTACATATGTTATTATCACAGTGATTAATTCTATTTTTGGGTTGTCATCGGCCGGAAATTCAATTTTTTTAGATAAATTGTTGAATAAAAAAAGTATGTTGATGTAATTATTTGCTCGGACTAACGCGATTACGGAATACTTCGTACTCATTTACACAGTACACACATTTTCTTTCTATTGTTATAATTAGAAAAGTACCGAATTTCAAATTCTTTATTTTGTGTACAAAATTATAATAATACACGAGTTATTACGTTATATTCACTTCACTCTGTGACTCTGTCAGTTCAACGAAGCCTGCCTTACCAGCCTGTTGGCCACATGTACGACTATTTGTTTTATTATAATTTAAGCATAAAAAATATATGAGAAAAAAAGTTGGCTCATTTTAAGGAATGTTTCTTATTACATATAATAATAAAGATTTACAGTGCAGACCAGGAGTAAAAAAGAAGGATTAAAAAAAATAATAGTAATAAGTATTAAATGTTAAAATAAATAAGGTTAATATTCTGAAAATTAAAAAGTTTTAACTTATTATATATTAATTTTTATTTATAGCTAATATTTCTTCTTGGCTAAAAGATGCTCTTTAGAAAATACCTAAATAGTGCTTCAAAGAATTTTTTTTATGGTCCAATAAGATTCTTTCTTCAACGTCTCATCAAGCGTTTGAATACAATTGAAAATGGTAAAATGATATACTATATATATTATTATTATTATAGGCATTTTACTTTTTAAACCCCAAATTGTCATTTTAACAAAAGAAGTTACTCTGAATAAGGGATGATCTCATATCACATGATATTACGATAAACAATCCCTAATCACTTTGAAAAAATTAACGAATAAGAAGCGATAAAGAAACAATTAACAATAAGTAGTTATCTCTATAAAGATTTTCTAATAATAAATCAAATTTTTCTAATAATAAAACCAAACAAATAACAAATTCAATTATGTATTTCTCTTTCTGCAACAGGGTTTCGATCAAAGCCTAATAATTAATTTTTTTTTTCTATAAGAAAGCCCCTATATAATTTATCCTTATTTGGTTTGGGCATCTTTTTTTCTTGTAAGATTAAGGGAGATTTCAATGCTAATTACCAAATTTTATTATTAAAATATCGCGCAAATATTTCTCTTATAAAAATCTCATTTATAAATACCATTTAGTTTAGTAAATTTTACTTTCAAATTTTTTTTACAACTTTAAATAAATATGTCGCAAATTATAAATATGTCTCAAATTAATGACGAACAAGAAGAAATTGTATACGAAGAATGGATGTATGATCTAACAGTGGTAGATTTTGTTATCGCAGGTTTAATACCTATTGATAAAGCAGTTTCGTAAGTTACTTATTCCTGTAATAGAAATCTGCNAAAAAAAAAAAAAAAAAAAAAAATTAAAAATAAAAAAAAAATAAAAATAAAAATAAAATTTAAAAATCAATTCACTTTTTTAATTAAATATTTCATAAAAAAAAGATTTTGTTGATAAATATTAATTTATTAAAATCATTTTTTATTAATATCCAAATAAAGTAAATAAGATACGCGTAAAAAAAATTTTTTTATCAATTTATCAATTTAATCAACTTTTAATCGACGTTAATCGACATAATCGATGTGACTCATTGAAACGAATCAAATTTTGAATCACGAAAACGTTCTAAAATTATACTTAATTTAATGTAACAATATACACCAATCATACAATCACGCCAATCACAATAACTTCAAAGTTGGTTAAATTAATCTTTTATTTTTACAATGAAATTATCGATAAGTTACTTAAGTTACCTAGTTAACTAATTACCTAGTTACCGAGTAGTAACCTAGTAACCTAGTAACCTAGTTACCGAGTCACCTAGTCACCAAGTCACCTAGTCACCTAGTTACTGAGTCACATTTACCCGCAGCTGGAATAGTATGCACCGTAATTTTCGTCAAATCGGGTTTATTAACCAAATGTAGTTTAATATATCATATTATTATCAATTTATTATATGGCGGGAATCATCTTACAGCTGCATTCAACTAAACTAACTTAACTTTAAAGACAAAGATCCTGAACCCCTGGATTCTTCTTTGCGCAAATTTATTTGAACAGAAGGGAATTTTGTTTATTGGTTATCATGGTCATGTTATGGTCATGTTATGTTTATGTTATGTTTATGTTATGTTCATGTTATGTGTCATGTCATGGTCATGTCATGGTCATGTGCACAAAATAATGGATTCCACCAATAACCAATTATTATTGTATTGGTCCAAGTCACATGAAAATGGACCAATCATTGAAAATCGTTTAATTCACATGATCATGGTCCAATCATTTAAATTCGTTCGTCCTTATAACCTTTCATTTTTAATTGCATTTATCATTTATTTTTGATCAATTTGTAAAGCTTTGAATCAATTGTATCTGAATTCCATACATTTAAGGTTGGTCGCCGTAAGTTATTTTGAATTACAACCTTGGTGGTTGTAATATTATAAACGTAAATTGTAAATAGGCTGTAAATACTACAATATTGTGGTTAGCTAAAAGATGGTAATTTTGATTTAAAACCATTACAATTACTTGACTTTTAGTATTTAAGAAATCTTATATACCTTATTTATTAGACCCTGTAAAAAATTTTATCCGTAATTTCTGTAAAAAATTCCGTGGGAGAGAATCAATGGGATTTTGTGAATTATGCAGACATTTTAAATCAATTTCACCATTTGAAACTCCATATTAACATGTAATGCCATATTACTGAACATATTATTATTTTTGCCTATTAATTTTATTAAACCGATTGTATGATATTCATTCAAATAAAATTAATCCATAATAACATTTTAATGCCCATCCTCCATATTACTATATAGAACCATTTTGCCTATTACTTTAATTTATTAAACCGATTGTATGATATTCATTCAAAATTAATCTCTAATAACATTTAATGCCCATCCCTCCATATATTACTGAATATATAACCATTTTTGCCTTTTACTTTAATTTTATTAAATCGATTGTATGATATATTCATTTAATCTCCATTATACCATTTTAATGCCCATCCCCCATATTACTATATAGAACCATTTTGCCTATTACTTTAATTTTATTAAACCGATTGTATGATATTCATAGAAATTAATCTCTAATAACATTTAATGCCCATCCCTCCATATATTACTGAATTTATAACCATTTTTGCCTATTACTTTAATGTTATTAAACCGATTGTATGATATATTCATTTAATCTCCATAATAACATTTTAATGCCCATCCCCCATATAGAACCATTTTAGTCATTCACTATTCGGTGAATGACTATAGTCATCCACTTAATCACGTGTCTGAGTTTCTTCGGTACGTTGCTATGAGGCTTATTAAGTTGTCTAATTTTTTTTTTATTTCGTTCCAGATATGTTAATAATATTTGCTTCGTAACTCCAGAAGCATCGTGTTGTATTCCTGCCAAATTGTTTCTCTGAATAACTATAGCCATCATACCTATTACTTTAATTTTATTAAACCGATTATATGATATTCATTCAAACAAAATTAATCTCTAATAACATTGTAATGCCCATCTCTCCATATTACTGAATATAGAACCTACTTTTATTAAACCCATTGTATGGTATTCATCCTTAAGACCTTTCATTTTTAATTGTGTTTCTTGAATAAAATCACATTTCCGCTGATCCCAACTTAAAGCTAAAATGTAGTCATTTGACCTAAAATGATAAAACTAGCATTATATTAAAAATGTAATAATAAACGTAATAATATTTATAGAAATCCTATACCTTATTTATTAGACCCTGTAAAAAATTTTATCCGTAATTTCTGTAAAACAACTTCACTATTTGAAACTCCATATGAACATTATAATGGGCCATCCCTGAATATACTGTTATAGTACCATTTTTGCCTATTGCTTTAATTTTATTAAACCGATTGTATCTCTATAATAACATTGTAATGCCCATCCCTCTATATTACTGTTATAAATCCATTTTTGCCTGTTGCATTTAATTTTATTAGACTGATTATATGGTATCCATTCAAAAGACCTTTCATTTTTAATTGCGTTTCTTGAATGAAATCATTTCCCGCTGATCCAACTTAAAGCCAAAATGTAGTCATTTGACCTAAAATGATGAAATTAACATTATATTAAAAAAGTAATAATAAATGTAATAATATATATAGAAATCCTATACCTTATTTATTAGACCCTGTAAAAAATTTTATCCGTAATTTCGTAAATCAACTTCACTATTTGAAACTCCGTATTAACATTGTAATGGTCCATCCATTACTGAATACACTATTATAGAACCATTTTTGCCTATTGCTTAATTTTATTAAACCGATTGTACGGTTACTACGGTATCCATTCAAATAAAATTAATATCCATAATAACATTGTAATGCCCATCCCTCCATATTACTGAATATAGAACCATTTTTACTAATTTATTAAACCGATTATTGGTATTTATTCAAACAAAATTAATCTTTAATAACATTTAATGCCCATCTCTCCATATTACTGAATATAGAACCATTTTTGCCTATTGCTACTAATTTATTAAACCGATTGTATGGTATCCATTTAATATTGTAATGGCTATCCCTCAAAATTACTGAATATAGAACCATTTTTGCCTATTGCTTTAATTTTATTAAACCCATTGTATAGTATTCATCCTTAAGACCTTTCATTTTTTAATTGCGTTTCTTGAATAAAATCACATTTCCGCTGATCCAATTTAAAGCCAAAATGTAGTTAGTCATTTGACCTAAAATGATGAAACTAGCATTATATTAAAAATGTAATAATAAACGTAATAATATTTATAGAAATCCTATACCTTATTTATTAGACCCTGTAAAAAATTTTATCCGTAATTTCTGTAAAACAACTTCACTATTTGAAACTCCATATTAACATTATAATGGGCCATCCCTGAATATACTGTTATAGTACCATTTTTGCCTATTGCTTTAATTTTATTAAACCGATTGTATCTCTATAATAACATTGTAATGCTCATCCCTCTATATTACTGTTATAAATCCATTTTTGCCTGTTGCATTTAATTTTATTAGACTGATTATATGGTATCCATTCAAAAGACCTTTCATTTTTAATTGCGTTTCTTGAATGAAATCATTTCCCGCTGATCCAACTTAAAGCCAAAATGTAGTCATTTGACCTAAAATGATGAAATTAACATTATATTAAAAATATTAAAAATGTAATAATAAATGTAACAATATTTTTAGAAATATTATACCTTATTTATTTGACCCTGTAAAGAATTTTATCCGTAATTTCTTTAAAAATTCCGTGAAGATGAAGGAAAGAATCAATGGGATTTTGTGAATTATGCAAACATTTTAAAACAATTTCACTATTTGAATCTCTTGTACATTGTAATGGGCCATCCCTCCATTGCTTTAATTTTATTAAACTGTATATATGTTGCCAAAATCCAATATAATTTGGATTTGGAATTGACAATTTTTGAATTTGGATGGCAGATAACTATAACCATAACCTTTAGCGCAACAACTTTAATATGCGATACTTGTATAGTATCACATGTTATTATGATAATTTACAAAGAAGATGCAGTTACTGCATATTATAGCGGCAAAAAATTTCTCATCATCACGCACAGATGTTTAAAATGTCAACTAAAAAAACGCATATATTGTATGACCATGAACCCATTAATGTATGATGACAATTTGCATTCCCTCAAAACCGTTTGGGAGGATGGTTAAGACTTTAGTTAATATGAAATACGGTAATTCATTGTCATGACAAAGTGATAAACGAGTTATTATACAAGATTACTATTGTTTATTTAATACAATGGGAAACAAAGTAGAATTAAAAGAGAAACTATATTGTATGTTAAAGAACCTATATTATATATCACTATCATGTAAGGGAAATTTGAAAGAGTTTTATATTTTATGACTAACTTTCTAGAATAATTTTAAATTGATCAATATATAGGATCTTTCATACAATATTAACAGTCATTGGTCCATATTATTTTACGTAACTTTTATCTTAACCTAAAATATTTTAGTTAGTTACGAAAATCATTTCGATGATCGAAATTTGTTATGTATGCATATCAAAGATAACCTGACCATCGCTATAAATCTTATATTATAAACTTACGTCAGACATGGGTAATATTTATAACGAAAAAAAAAATAATAATAATAATAATTTAATAATAATTCCCTACTCATTCTTTTCAAACTTTTTCCACTTTTTTTTTCTTTATTTCTTTTTATTTTTTTTTTGTCTGTCCCCTTTAAAAAGCCAAATAAGGTAAGAGGAAAAAGAATCCAAACAATATTATTTTTTGTTATTTGCAGTAAAGTACATTTACAAATGATTGACACATTGCAGTATACTTCAACTTTTGCATTGAATTTTTACTTTTCTAGACAATTTAAGTTTGTTTCTTTTAACTATAATTTTCTTTTTATAATTTAATAGACATTCTAGCATTATTATTTTTTATTTATTTATTTTTTTTTTTTTTTTTTGAAAAAAAGAAAAA